TAGGCAGGTGTACCACATCAGATCATGGCTGCCTCCACAGCAGGAGCCTAAAAAGAAGTGGAAGAGTTTTACACACCGGAAGGATCTGCAGAAGCAGAAACCTGGGTATAGAAGCCAATCTGGTGCTATCAACAGGATCTGACAGTTAGTTGGAACAAATCGTATTTTGTACCTTGGTTAGCATATGAAGTGGAGAGAAGGTTTAGATGGGTAATTCCATCCCATCCAGATGGAAAGCATCTATTACCAAACCCCAAAGGTGAGGTACTGGAGACCAAATTGCCAGTAGTTGGATAATTCAATGAGAGGCTAACCAACCAGTTGCAAAATGAGAGCCAATCCAACTGAACCTTGCGATGCAACATGTATTCTGTTGGGGAAACTGTTTGGATTGAGACAGTTGTCCTGCCACTACAGGCATCATCAATGGAACAAGGTAAGCTAGGAGGGTGATAAGATATGACTAGTCCCAAAAAAGGAGGTACAAAATTCAAAAATAAGGAGCTCTAGACTACATGCCTCCTTGACGAGAAACATTAGACACTACCACGGAATTTGTCATAGTGAAGCTTGAGAATTTACCCCTTAATAAGCCTCGACTATGAGGCATTGCTTGTTGAAGAGCAAGAAGGATGAAAACATAGTATAGGGTATCCTATTCATCTGTGCATAGACTCTGGGATTCCTGACTGTTGGTATATGCACACCATCCCTGAAGCAAGGCATTCATGAATAGATGGAACTCTGGACGAAGTGGCAGTAGAAGAACCCATATCGTAGAAGTATCCCGAATTAACAACCCCTCAAGATCGAAGAATGATCCACACTAAGGAAACTGGGGAACCAGTAAATAGATGTTTATGATCATTGGTCACTTAAAGACCAATAAAAGGATTGCTTATGTTCTCTTTTCAAAGGATTTGAGTGATGCCTACATTCACAGAAGAGAAATGACCATTCATTCAGTAGGAGAAGGAGAGATGAGTAAGAGTGTGGCATCCTATTCTATAGGATTGAACTGAAAGGTAAAAGGCTGAACCCGAATAAGAGATTAGATGAAAAATAAAAATAATTGATGACATATTGAATTGGAACAAGAATAGATGTTGCTGTCCTAAAAGGGAAGCCTACCTTGGGTGTATCTTAAAGTAGAATCAGGATGTAATGGTCTAACAATTGATGAGATGGTGCCAGCAGTAACCAATTGACCATGGAATGGTGTGTGAACAGTACATTGAAATGAAGGGGACAAGAAAAAATACTCGTATGATATGGCAGACCCTTTTGGAAGTCTATACGAGTCTGAATGGGAAAACCTGGAACTGCAGTACTTGACCTTTGTGCACCACAAACACCGATAGTGGTGGGAATCCACTGCTGAGGTAAAGTGTAGATAGGAGCCAATTATAACCAAGTTGGACATCTACAATCCCAGGAAAAAATCAACACCGATTGAGGAATGAGTAACTTGTGTACCTTGGAGAATCTAAGCATTGATATAGACAAGGAAGATCGATGACTGAACACCAATTTCCTGTCAGCGTAGTCCCAACAACTAACAGGAATAAAAACTCTGAAGAACTAGCATGACACTTTCACTACCCACAGACCAACCAAACTCAGATATCCCTAGAACTAAGTTCCAAATCCCCATTAGCTGTGAGAGATGAAACCCTACAGGTTGGATGGATAATAGGGGAAGATGTGAACTGAAGGACTGATTGTGACCCAAGGACCTGTAGAGCTCCTGGACCCAAGGTTAAGGTTACCATATGTACAGAAATTCTTGGAACTGAGCCCTCACAGCCCATGAAGGTATATAATAATAATAAATGATGCTAACAAAATTTGAGACTTCAAAAATAACCAGGAGGGATGTAGAAGTTGAAAATTGAACCAATGTACATGCAAACAATAGATCCAGTTCATCATCAATGAAGTTGATGATCCTGAGTCTTCTAACAATGTGAAATAAAAGAAAACAAAACATTGAATTTGAGTTGTAAGTCTCTAGACTTACTCTGTCCCGTCATGGGACATAGACTTATATAGGTGAGCAACAAACTCCACCTTAGAACCCCAAACTTTGAGGAGCAGATATATTATTTGAAAGTTGGAAAAATGCCTCTACTTGGTGGTTGTAGGCTGAATCACGAATTTCTGACAATGTTTCCAATAACACCTAACTGTCTTTTCATGTAACTGAGAAGTAAACCTTCCAGCATGAATCACAATGTGGAGAAAAAACTAAAAATTTGTTCCCAGACCTTTAAGCCATCAAGTAAGTTGCAGGCTCAAAAGCAACTTGGAAAATGCCCAAAACATCACACACTTGAATAACCAACAGAAGAAAATTAAATCAAATGCAGGTTATCCCAAAGTAGCCTCCTTTTTGTTTTTTATAGGTCATTACCGTTGATTTTGTGAGGTAAAGGAAGTTGTTTATAAGAGCAAAGCAACATTGGGGCATCTGCTACGTCCGCTCTAGGGACTCAAACCCTGGACCCCAGTGCTGCGAGTCTGCAAACTTATCACTGTCCCAAAGAGAGGCTGAAAATCCAACAGACTAAAAGAAGGCATGTAAAACAGAGAGGATTGCATTCAATTGCAGTCTCAGAGCCCCATGGAGGACCATCAGAGATCCAAATATATCTCTTCATCTCACTACAAGTAAGATCACTGACAGTCTTAACTGAGAGTGACACCCCCTCCCTGATTCTTGTGTAACGCTAGATATCAGAGATGGGATAGGTGAGACCCAATTTGCCTCCATACCAGAAATAATAATCTGGGATTTCGTACCGTAAATTGGCTTGCCAATTGGAAGAAGAACAAAAATGTTTTTATTACGAAAACCAACAAGATAACATGATAACATTCAAAGTATCTCCGAATGATCATAACACTAGGGAAACCTGTTAGTGATGCTTTGTCAAGAAAAGTGATAACATTATCTGTATAAGGTGCTTATATACTGTACCAGAATAGAGCACATTGATGTTGTTAGAGAGTATCATAAGATAAATATCGCCAAGGGCAATATTGAGTAGGATATAAAAGAGTGGAACAAGCGAGAAAAAATCAGACCAATGCTTAGATAAGCAAAAAAAGAAATCCTGGGGGTCAAATAATAGCTATAAGTGTCAGTGGAGGTAAGTATGTTTTGAAATACAGCTCTTCCTTTTGGCTATCCCTCAAAGATTTTCATGTATCAAAGATGCTACTGCGCTGGAGGTGTTTCCTGTCAGATTGGTTTTGAGTGGGATATTTCACAGTATTGGGATATCTTTCTTATCCCGATAGTCTGGATGTTTATCACTTTGCTATTATGTGCCCTGTTTACAGATTGGAGAGTATGATATCTCTTTCCAGTCTGCTGAACTTGAGGTGAAGACGATATGATCATTTTTCCTACCCCCACGTGGACGTCAGTTCCCTGTGACTGAGTATTGGATTGTTGTTGATTTGTTGACAGTATGAGCCTCTTTCTTACCCCCCACAGGGATGGTTTTGGATGCGGTTGACTTGCCATGTATGGTTCATCAGGCCCTAGCCACTCTACATCTTGAGACACTTTTTTTTTTACTCTCACTTACTTTACTGTCATCAACACCTCTTTCCAGACTGGGCATAGAGTATATCTGCTACAGAAGTGGTGCAGTCTCCCACGTAGAATCCTCTACTGTGTTGATCTCCCCATTTTGGGTGCTTTTCAGAAGCTTTCAAAGGATGCTTCTTTCTTTCTCATGTACTGGTCCCTCCACCTATTCAATGTGGGATTCTAGCTATGTCTGTGAGCAGAGTTAATCTACTGTATTGTAAGTTATAATTTTCCTGTATTGAAGATTTACTTCTGATGGGTACTTACCTCCTTTCACATTTCCCACCCTTCCTTCACACTGAAAACTGGTGCTTCCATTTTCTACCAAAACTTGAAGATAGTTTGGTAGGATCATATAGAGGGAACCACATGTGTCTTGAGGGTGTGTCTTACTCCTATTGGTAGAGGTATGTCACATAATGATTTACATGCAAGACACAATTGAACCATGTTGATCGTGGGGTACGTGGGAGTTCAAAGCTTGTGGCATGTGAAAACGTTTTGCATATAGAGGGCAGCACTGAACAAGAATAGCTATATCTTTGAGAAGATGTAAATACCAATTGGAAATGCATTTTCACTATAGGAAAATTATAGCTTAGAAGCGATAATTTATCACAGGTATGTTTATACGTAACTGTTAAAAATCCTTTGTTGTGTAGTTTAGTTTTCGTGAATTGATGTCACATTACTCAAACCTTCCAAATTTTTCCTGTTGCTTTAAGTTAGTATTGTTACATCATAACATCTTATAGTTTATAGAAAGTTTTAGGCCACAGTTGGGCAACATATAGGTGACCAAGTTAGTGAAAGTAAGAGTGAAGTTAGACTGCCTATCAGTTTAGCTGTTACTGGCAATTTCTAAAGTGAGTTTCACAGCTTGTATTGTAATAACAGTGATAGAGGAGAATAATTTATTTTGTCTGGATACAACTGTGATAATATAGCAGAAGAAGATGTAGCTACAGATAGATATTATTTTAACACAATTTGTCAAATGTCCTTTAACTATATCTAATATATGGGAAAGAAACTCCATTTATTTTTCAATTATTTTTGTAGGAATCTATAAGGAAATAATAGTTTTTGTCAAGGTGCTTAGTAGTTAATGTAAAGCTCACTTGATAGTTTTTCCTAAAAGATGTATGTATTACCCAGAGTTGCTTTAAATATTTCAAAAGTTGTAACTTTTATATGATTTCAAGGTTTTTAAATATACTTATGTGGGGCTTCTATTTTTAACCATGCTGTTAACTTGATGTGAATAATAATACTCAGTGATAAGATTTTTGCTTTATAAGGTAGATGTGCATACTACTCTGAGTAAATATTAGTACTAAAATGTATTGTAGATATGTGTACTAGTATATGTGTACTCACACTGTTTTTTAACTTACAGTGTGTGGTGGGAAGAAACTCACTAGGTACGTAACTTTTCATTTATACAGTTTCTGATATTGAGATTCACTTTTTTCATTTTCTGCAAAAAGTTGCTACATGAGTGTTTTTAATGACCATAAATTCCTATTAATATCTTTTCTTGCACATGTGTACATTATCAAAAGAACTGCGATATCACAACTTGAGCTAATAATATACCTAAATGCCCTGAACTTTCATGTGAATCACATGGTATACTGATGTGTAGAGTTCATAAAGGACAGCAGCTGCTACAGACAGAGGAACGGTTGCTGGACATAGTATAGATGGTATGAGTGTATGGGGGGTATTTCCACTTGCTTATTTATAAATATTAAATATAATGTAGGTTAATTTCTGAAAAAATGTAATAGCACTGAATGTGCTGTTTTAGGATATTGACAGTTAAAACCACTGTGGCACTGAATCTATTGTAGAGGATTCTAGTTAGGGTTTAGGACAGTAGGTCATCTCTTCCACTGTCTTAAGGAAGATTTATATTCACAACTGTGACAAGTAGCCTATGGGCTGCAGCCTAAGCCTATCCATGAAATCCAGCACCAACAAGATTGCAACTTTCATGGTACCTAGAGTATCAAAGTTGGGAGGAAAAAAACAATGGAAAAAACCATCATGTGAACCAGTGAATCTCACTGTTGGTTATATGCTTCAAATTAATAAGTCAGGGTTTGAGAGCAGCTTGGAGAATAAATAGTGAAAAGTGATGAGGTAGTTTCATAGTGCAGGTCTGATTGTAAATCATAAGTGTTAAAACATTCTGGCATTACTAAGGTAATATAATTCTATGGAGTAAGGATAATACTCCTTTGAGCTGACAATGTGCTATACCATATTGTATTATCTGTCCAGCAAGGGTCTAGACAAATAACTTTCATAATATGTATCGGTAAACCCAGAGCCCGCCCCTTATATCAATTCAGATGAACCACTGGTTATTTTGGAGTTTCACCTGAAAAACAGATCCTAAAATCTCTGGGAGCTACTGTGAAAGAAAAATGTTTTATTAAATGGGATCCCAAGAGTAAAACTTAACCCCTTGTCATTGTTTTCTGTTGCAGTACTTTTGATAATGTAGTACATATGTAACACCCCCCCCAGAAAAAAAGAAAAAGGTAGTGAATTAACAATGAAGTGTGTTCTTTAGCATATCTAACAGTTTAACCTTTATACCTTCTTACATGAACAAAATCTTTTATTAATAATATACTCTTATTTTCTCAGGTGGAGATGCTGGAGGTTCCTTGATTCATTCTTTGCTGATGTTAGCATTAGAAAACAATTGTCCAATCCAGCTACTTAGACAGGTATATAATTGTGAAAGACTTAAAAAATCAGCTATATGGAATGTAATGTACTTAGAAGATTTAAGGGTTAATATAAAGTTTAACATATTTGTGTATAGCTGTGTGTAGATACTGGGCCAAAAGGATATTTCCAAATCAGTATTTAAATCATTGATTTGCACATTTTAGACTTCTTTCAGGCAAAATATTGAACAGCAATCGATGAAAATAAATTGTCTGGAATATTTTGAGTTTGTTTTTATGTGTGTGGAAAAATATATATAGGCATTTAATTCATTATAAAATTAAAAACTGAATAAAAGTGCACAGTTGAGCCACAGCACTGCCAGTGGTGAATTAGTTTGTGTTAATAATCTTTGCTTGTGTATTTTGGTATTAAACATTTTTTATAGTTGTTGAAAAAACTTTTCCTGTAGTCAGTTTAAGTACAAGATGTCTATAATTTTTTTCATACACTCATGATTATTGGATCATTAGAAAAAAAGATTGTTGTTCAGGTTACCATTTCACCAGGTTAACTATGATTACATGATGTTTGTGCATGCTTTTGTTCCTTGTAAATTTAAAGTTGATAAATTAAAAGAATTAGAAGCATGAATTACAAGTAGTCAAATTATAACCTTAACTATATGTTTTTATGGATTTTGACACTTGGGGCAGTTTTGATTTGCTTAGATTAAAATAAAGTTTAAATATCCAGAACTTTAGTGTCAAGTAAACAGGTTTTGTTTGCTATGGTACTCTGATGTGTAGAATTTGTGTTCTATATTTAAAATCTGTTAATTTGGATATACCTTTTACTTCAGACTATGGTGTGTGCGAATCAAATTCTAAGATCAAAACAGGCTTTATCTGCATTCTTTAACATCAGCAAGGAAACCTCAAGTATAATGTAAGAATCCTCAAATTTTTTTTTAGTTGTATTGAAATTGTTATTCATATGCAAGATAGTTTTTTACTTACTATACACAAGTATTTTATTGCAAATCCAGTGTAGCTTTAGGATATTACTGGGAATAAGAATAAAATATCTTATGTTTAAGAAATGATAGAACCAGATACATGATGACAAGTTTGAGAAAAATAATGTTAAAGGTTACTAGCTTTAATATATTGCGTAGATGTACTGTACATGTTAGGGTAGACAATACATTCATATGTCATGTTAATACAGTGTAATGTAAACTGAATATGAAGCCTAAAAGTTATGATGTTGGAAAGAACACAAACTAAATGTCTATTTCATTAATGTTTTTTTTTAGGTTAAGGGTTTCACTTTTACCCATTATAATTTTAACCCTCTAGTTGTGCAATCTTCCTAAAGCTACACCAATATAACTCACACTGAAGTTAGCAAACTCTGCTTTCTGTGCCTCTTTAAAGTCACAATCAAGCTCACAGTTTTTAAACATAACCCTCTTCTTGTCATCTATTGCACCCTATAAATTCCACCCCATTTGTCTACGAACTCATATTGAATATTACTGGTTTAGAAAATCTATTTTTAGTCTACCCACTAATAATTGTATATTTTACTAAATTATAGGTAGGTTTTAATTATAAAAACCACTTGAGTGACATAGTTTCTTACCTGATTCTTTCAACAATGTTTTAATTTGTATTTTTGTGTACTTGGGTATATATTTCATTTCATTATATAATGGAAACTCATTAGGATCCGAATAACATATATCATTCATCTGTACACTTATAAAACTTTCTGAAACAGTTCAACATAAGTAAATTTCCTGTACATATCTTATTTTTCAGTTTATGGAGCTAGAGTGCATTTAGTAAAAGAGTAATATGTAAGCAAATTTAGGAGCTTATATCTCTGCAAGTATTATTTACCTTCAAGCTTAAGCCCTATCTCATCCTATGTAACATAACTACTGACAATAAGGGACCATTTAGTCCTTCAAGACTGTCCTTGTACACACACCCTTAAAAGTCTAAAGAAAAATCTAAACCTACCCTTTACTGTTCATGCAGTCATTGCTTCCATTCTTAAATTTCAGTAAAGTTATGGCCTCCATTACTGCTGACAGCAACTCATTCCATAAGTTAGTCATCCTGTTAGAAAAATGAAATTGTCTTAAATGTAGCTTAGTTGGTCCATTCCAAGTTATTGTCAAAGTATACATAACAAAATAACTTGAGATATTTTAACCTGTCCCCGTAAGGTAATCCTTCCATCTGTGGAATAATTTTATTATACCTCTCCATTGAACATTTTCCAGTAAGTCAATATCTTCTTAAATAACAAAACCAAAATTGTTCACAGTATTCCAAGTGAGACTTGACTGGTTATCTATATAGAGAAAGAGTTACTTCTT